CCCCCCCCCCCCCCCCAACATCTTTAGAATTATTAGGAAAAGGCAATTGCTAGATAGCATACTTCAAAATAAGGTTTCCGTTTTTATATCAATTTTTAAAATAATTAAAATAAGTTAGGAATTAGGAAAATCGGGTTGGCCATTCGGAAAATTACGGCAATAATAGTATAACGAAATTTTAGTTGTTAAGCAGAGAAAATATTATAGAATTGTATTGTCAGTATAAACTGATTGAATTATTGCATTTATATGCATAACAATTTACAAATCGTAAATCGGTGAATGTTTTTCGATTCATCACTTCTGTAATATGTCAATATGCGTAAAAATATGTGTATTTTTGTTTGTATTTGGTCAATAATTGACTCAATTGTCTCAATTATGATACATTAATATTCCTTCTGGTGCGTCTAATAAAAAACGGCTTTAATATTTATAATTTATTGCGTCTTCATTTTCCGAATAGCAAACATCTTCGGGGCGTCGTATGCAATGAAAGATTCGAAACTATTTTCGTCTTTCGGAAATTTTTTCCCGAGATCCCCCCCCCCCCTACTATACATGCTAGCTACGGCCCTGTGGTCGCTTCATATTTTAGAACTTTCAATTGGAGTGCCAGGACACTTACTATATTATTAATATATTAATATTAAGACACGTTCAGGGGCGTAACTCCTGGGGCGATTTTAACGACACGCTCGTCGGGCAAAAAAATGTAATTTAACAAATCATTTTTTGAAAAGTGACAATTGTAGGATAAATTTAGATAAATTTACGAAAAGATTACTGAAAATTGTACAAATTTCGGTAAGTTAGTGAAAAATGGTATGTCTGAAAATGTTTTTTCCCTAACCCGCCCAACCCCGCCTCCCCCCAGCCGTACTACCCAAGTTACGCCCCTGGACACGTTAACGTGTTTTTTTTTTTTTTGCAACTGATGTTTGAAACAGTTCAAATTTGGAAAATAAACCATTGCGTAGTTTACAGTTAATTGTGTTATTTCCAAATTCTCTGTGCACCCTAGAAGCTTGCACGGAATGGGGAGGTCGTAGCAACCGGGTGTGGGAACTGCAGCGCCTACCAACATTGATTGACAAAAATACGTATGGGTCTGCCTCTAGCCCGCGTGCAGGCCCAAGGGAACTGGAACTGCACGCAGGCTAGTCTGCCTCGTACCCAGGCGCCCCTTCGCCCATCTCTCCCCACTACAATACTTCATGAAAACTCGTCATATGCGCATTACTGATTTTTGCAAAGAGACGCCTTGGTACGAGGCAGCGTATGGGTTATCACAAGAAACCTGTTTTGAATTGCCCTTCTCCCCCCGTCCCCACATATCCTTTTGCAGTCCACTCTCAAGAGCTTGCTACTGCACTCCCATGCATAACATCACAATCCCCGCAAGAATCAATTTTACTTTGTTCGTATTGGCATATTAATAAGTCGTATTTAGGTTATTAGTCGTTTAAGACTTGTATTTCACTCGTGTTCCATTCGTGTTCACTCGTGTTCATTCGTGTTCATTCGTGTTCATTCGTGTTCACTCATGTTCACTTGTGTTCATGATCACTCGTGTTCTTACTCGTGTGGAGTTTTAGATCAGTTCGACAAAAGCCAATCTCGTCCCCAGGGCCTTTTGAGGTTGGACAAAAGCCCCGTTTACACTACGCTAAACTACGCTCAATTTTTGGTACGGCAGTGGCGTAACTCCTATGAGTTCTACCCGGTAAGAGCCGGGGGCACCCAGGCAAACAGGCTTCCAGGGGGGCACCCTGAACTGAGTTGTCCGGGGGCCTTGTTCATCTAAGGGGCTGTTTATATGAGGCGAGCCAGCTCGGGTACCCGAGCTAGCTCGCTTTAGGCGGGATCCCGTCCTTGTTAATATTTCCTACTAAATTTCATGTTGCGTTTATATGAGAACCGAGCTGGCCCGCCTAACCGAGGTCCCGCTTCGTGTGACCCGAGACCTCGGGTAAACGGGCTGGGTAGTTTTCCGTATAAACGCAACAGGGAGGGTTATCCCTCCTAGTAGGGCTGGAAATTTAGCAAATACGCATGCGCAAATAATTAGAATAATTCAGAATGCACAAACAACTCCCATATAAGGAACCAACTTTCATATATGGAGTTGGTTACGCAAAAAAAATTAGAACAAATTAGAAATTATTATTAAAACAATGTAAATCAGAACAATGTAAACGCGTGGTGAATTTCATCTCGGGGATACGAGCCAGCTCGGGTACCCGGGCTGGCTCGCTCAGGGGCGGTGGAACACCCCCCCCCCCCACTCGTCAGCTAATCGGCAAATTGTTATCTCAGTCGGCAAAACTGGATTGGCTGAAGATAACCACTGAAGAAACCAAAATTGACCTCCTGAATAATTGAATTCAAACCGAATATCACGAATAGCATGCATCAAAGAAACCACACATGCAGCAATGCAAGTTTTTTCGAATACAGTATCTTCACTTCTGTTGTTGCTTATTATACTGTTCTATAAAAGAGGCAATAAAGTCGGTTTTCCACTAGCGAATTTTCTCGCACGAAGCGACCTTTTTCCTTTGTCGGTATCACTTATTACGTCAACAAGACGTGGCAAAATCAGTCCTCGAAAACGAGGTCGGCATTCGGCAATGCCGGGCTAAATGCAAATTTTGGCCCACCTTAATTCAACCAAAGTAAGAATTTTTTATGCTGATAGCTTTTAAAATGTCAGCGATTATAGAATTCGATTCGTAGTTCGATTAACTGAACACAATACGGTGTAAGGTTTAAAAACTGACGGGTATTGTGTATATGCGTTAGATGTTTGAAGATCACATTTCGCGCGTCTGGAGTTAAAATTTGGCTCCAACTTTCGAATTTTCCGGCTGGAGGTAACGTCCAGTTATATTCGGATTTCAATGATTCGTAAATGCGTGATTAATAGTGCTCCAAGACGTGAAACAGATTTTAACTTGAAATGCCGAGATGTGCCGACCTAGGTCAGATTTTGCCGACTTGAATTTTGACGGTTTTGACTTTTCGAAGGCTGCAAAATGGATGCCGACAAAGGAAAAAGGTCGCTTCGCGCAGAAAAATTCGCTAGTGGAAAACCGACTTAATAGAGGGTAATAAAGCGCATTTAAACATGCACATTTACTATAGATGGCCCTGAAGGGGTAAATTGGGAACTGGGATTGATCTATTTTTAGACTGGGAAAATGGGATTTGTCTTGCTGGGACTGGGATTTGGCCACTGGGAATAGGAAATGAAGTCCTCAAAAATGGGAATGGGATTGAAGTAATGTGAGTCGATTCCCAATTGTGATCCGTTTTTGGTGTCTTTAGTCATGGTTTTTGTTGTTAACTATATTATTCACAGCATTACTTGCGAACAGGCATACTCTGGCGCCCGGAATTTTGGGTTTTCTGATTATGCGTGTCTCAGAATGATGCAAATGCCATTTCCGGGATTCAAATTTAAAAATTTTCCGTGCCTTCGGCACGACCCCCTCCCCCCAATATTTCGTAAAGTGTCCGCCACTTGCACACACGGTGGCTTAAAAGGTCTTAAAACTGTTTATTCTACCGATAAATAAAGGGGTTTTTATTGACTGGGATTTCAATAACTCGGACTGGGATTTCTAATAAAAATCCAACTGGGACTGGGATTTTGCCAAAATTTCAGGTGGAAAATGGGATTGGGACCCCCCCCTTCAGGACCCTCACTATAGGCTAATGACTCGGCAAAATTACCAAACAACAGTCGGCAAAAGATCACTCACCCCCCCCACTCGAAGAGGGTTAGCGCCGCCCCTGGGCTTGCTTCCATATAAACAGCCCCTAAGGTTGTACGTGCATAAGTACAGTGGCAAACATTTCACTGTTTATGTCAAAAACAATTTCTGCATGGTGTTATTTCTGCATAGTTGTGGTTTTTTGTTGTATATTTCGCTATATATTTATATTTCCAGTTCAAGATGCCATTAAAATTCGCTTCTAAACGACCAGCAAAGTGTTCATATTGTTAGAGCTTCATGATACTTCAAAAGGATATATAGGATACCCCTGCCTTGGGGCACCTAATTCCGGTAGCACCAGGGGCGGGCTGGTCCTAACTTACGCAGTGTTTCCACAACGCATCATTCAAATTTCCTTGATTTTGCTTTAAAATTTCCTTGGATTTCCTTGAAATGGGATGTAATTTCCTTGAAATTTCCGTGATTAACCGAAGTATATTTTGGCAACTAGAATTCATCAATACTTATATAAAGTAAGACAGAAACAGAATGGTTAGGGTTAGGGTTAGTGTAAAATACTAGAGTTTTAATATTGTTCTCAATAGTCAACAAATTCACATGACAAATAAATTTATATAAATTCGCCTGCACGCAGCACGCTACCTGATTTCCGCCTAAAATTCAGGTTGTATTATAATTAGTTTAATTAATAATTCTAGATTCTACTGACTCGGTCACAGGCTCCGAAAGAGGTTTTTTTTATTTTTGCACGCGGACATATTGGGTATGAGCGAAGGAAAGTAATAAAATTTAAAATTAATGAAAGGTTCCTGAAAGAATCTTCAAAACATTTCAGTTGACTCAAAAATTCCTTAAATTTCCTTAAAATTTTCAAAAATTCCTTATATTTCCTTGATTCCTTTTTTTTCCTTGAAACGTCTTTTTTCGGTCAAAATTTCCTTGAAAAAGGAAATTTCCTTGAAAGTGGAAACACTGATTACTTACGCCTCTGTGGTACGGCACGGATAAAATTGGTACCCGTACCACTTTTTTGGTTCTTGGACTACCTGTATTATAGTCTCTTGTCTCATGATTTGCATTTTCGGCCGCTTATACGCTACAACTCATGACATGACGAGTTGTAGCGTATAAGCGGCCGAAAATGCAAATCATGAGACAAGAGACTATAATATAGGTAGTCCAAGAACCAAAAACTGGTCATGTTGTAATTATATTGTATCTATACATTGAAAGCGATGTCTACAGAAAGTGGATTCGTTTGAATTTTCTTCAAAATCTCTCAAAAACCCAATTCTACCCAGACGAAGCTATAATTTTCATAGTGTTTAATGATGGAATGTCAGGAATTTCGCCAATAGATAATCTCAAAATCGAACTTTAATCGTAAAATTAACAAACTTCTGGTTCGAATTTTCCAATAAGGTTGGTATTTTTATAATCGGAAAAGACCAAATTTTCAGAAATTTCATATACTCTTTATAGTTGGCAAAAAGTTGCAAATTAATGCTTAGATGCCATCAGAAGAAAACGAAGAGCAAAATAACGATGTGGATGACCGATTTCACCTGTGAAGATGGTAAATATTTTAATTATTCGTTAATATTTAATCATTTGCATTACAAAATAAGATAGTACAAATATATTTCAAATAATTTTTCCCGCATAGCCATTTGCCCGCGAAACCGAGGCTTGAACATGTCGTCAAACTTTGTAAGTTGATTTTATAAAATTACTAAATTAGTTTGTTCTCACAACGTCAAAAACACCTAACCGTGTCTATTTGAACTAATTGAAATATATCCTTGTTTTTTTTCTTTCGAAAGGAGGGCATTAAAGGCTACAAATTCACAAATTGGTCAAAGACATTCCGATGCGAGCCTGAGCTGTACTTTGAACCAACGAACCACGACGAAATTCGCAAGGTAATTTGAGATTTTTACGTGTTATTTTCTTTATTTCCTGCTGTAGTAAGGTAGCGATTTAAATGGTGACCAAATTTGGAGAAGTTAAACTGTGATTCAAGGAATTGCGGTGCCCGTGCCATTTTTGGCACCGCATTATATTGCGGTGCCCAAAGTTTGGCACCGCATTATATTCTGCCTGTGAGTTTGTTTGTTAGTTTGTTTGTTAGTTTGTTCGCATTATTAATCGTGTACACTCATGATGATCGACAGTTTGCTGCGTCTTATCTCTGGTTTTATGCGCCCAATAAGGACAAAAATACCACCGTTCGATTCAGTGTAAGAAATTATACTTACAGATGTCAAATGAATTACTAAACTACAGTATTCTAGCGATTTATGGCCTTTGAAAGACAAGTGAAATTGTATTGTTCACAAATCGCTCAGAATTATTAAACTAATTAAAAATGCAATACATTTGACCTTGATAACTTTCGTATTGTTGGTTTTCTCTTTTTCGTCCGTTTACCAGTCGATTTGTCTCACTTTTCCCTTTATTTTGTTTGTAGTTTCAGCCCAAAATATTATATTTTGAAGGTTTTAATGTGCAGTTTTAATATAGTCACTAGACTGCCGGTCATTTAGTATTTGATAAACCGTGACCGGCTGCCGGTCATATAGTCACTTTGTTTTAATAAGCGAAATTGTATTGTTTACAAATCGCTCAAAATTATTAAGCTAATTAAAAATGCAGTCCGTTTAATCCTTGATAACGTCGGAATTGTTGGTTTTCTCGTTTTCGGCCGTATGCCAGTGGATTCGTCTCACTTTTTTCCTCATTTTGATAGTATTTTGAGCCCAAAATATTTTATTTTGAAGGCTTTAAAACGCAGTTTTGATCCTAACGTACGGACCAACTGGCGGTCGACAGGAGAATGTATAGCGTGCTAAATATAACCACAGAGTAGATAAGACATACAGAGACGTAACTGACCGTTGTAAACACTGCCACAGAATAGGAAGTTATACCAGAAGCGTAACTCTAGTCGTTTCCCTTATTGTTTGACGTCCACGAAAATTTTAACTCGCTCACGTCAGGCCACGCCATCCTGGCTAGTACAGCCGGAAGTTTTTATCAGGATTTGGTAGGTACAAAGTGCCGGTTGTACTAGCCAGGATGGCGTGATTGATAACGTGATTGATGACGAATCGCTTGTAAAAACGCGGACAAATATTTGCTCGAGTTACGCTTCTGGTATAACTTCCTATTCTGTGACACTGCTGAAGATTACGTTATCATGTACCCACTTTTTTTCAGGCGACCGGGCGAAAAATGATCAACTGCGCGTGCTCAGCAAGTTTAAAGTGAGTCGTCATCAGGTCGTCATCCAATCAGATGCATGCATCTAGTAACTTGCCAAGCATGCGCACAAAAAAGTGGGTACACTAGTTACGTCTCTGTATCTCTCTACTCTGTGATATAACTTTACTTGTGCATGTAGGCGGAAACGCCAAAAGTTTTATTTGTAGGCGGGCACCGCATTTTAGTACTGTGTCTGGTTAGTTTGTTAGTTTGTTAGTTTGTCCGTTTGTTAGTTTGTTCGCATCAATACGTTTCCTTAATCGCCTACAAAAAATTCCTTGCACTCGCTCGGAATTGATGAATTTATTAATTAATCGTGTACTCTCATGATGATCGACTGTTTGCTCAGTTTTATCTCTGGTTTTATGCGTAAAACAAGGACAAAAATACCACTGTTCGAATCAGCGTGAAAAGTTGTGTTTACGGATGGAAAATTGATTTCAAAATTGACTTCTACTCTACCTATTTGTCGCCTTTGAAAGACAAAAGCCGCTCAAAATAATCCTTCACGTTTTCCGAATTCCTTTTTTCGAGGAAAGTTTTCTTTCGAATTAATCTCGAACTTTCACGATTGACTTTTTGCTGCGACTTATCTCTGGTTTTATGCGCCCAATAAGGACAACAATACCACCGTTCGATTCAGTGTAAGAAATTATACTCACAGATGTCAAATGTATTACTAAACTACAGTATTCTAGCGATTTATGGCCTTTGAAAGACAAGCGAAATTGTATTGTTCACAAATCGCTCAAAATTATTCGCTCAAAAGTATTAAACTAATTAAAAATGCAGTCCGTTTGATCCTTGATAACTTAGGAATTGTTGGTTTTCTCGTTTTCGGCCGTATGCCAGTGGATTCGTCTCACTTTTTTCCTCATTTTGATAGTATTTTGAGCCCAAAATATTTTATTTTGAAGGCTTTAAAACGCAGTTTTGATCCTAACGTACGGACCAACTGGCGGCCGACAGGAGCACAGAATAGATACCGGACTGTATCTACAGGGTGTATAAAAAAAACGCAACCACGGTGCAATTCTTAAGCATAAAAGATTTTAGGCCGCTGGGAATTGAAATCGAATTGCTAATAGATCATATTACTGTTGTTGTGCATTAAATAATGCATAAATTTTGCTTTATGCACTCGCGTGTGCAGTAATTTTGACAGTTGTGCTATTTTAAATTCCCAGGCGCCTAAAATCTTTTGCCGTCTTTAAAACAATGTCGATTTCTTGGGAAACTCCGAGGTTGCGCTTTTTTTTTATACACCCTGTATATACTGTATCTATATACTAGATACTGTATCTATTCTGTGACAGGAGAATGTATAGCGTGCTAAATATAACTTAGCCTGCGAGCAGGCTCTCTGGGGAAAGAGAGCCTGCAAGGATCCCTTTGATGATTCGGTGCATGCGTCCAATATTTGGACGCAGTGCTCTGATTGGTTGATAACTGATTCATATGAAGTGATTGACAAGCTTCCATAAACTTACACTTCCCGTTTTGTAAAACCGAGCAACGCAAAGCTTCGGAATTGCGGCAATGTAGAGATAAAAGTGTCATGTATTTTGATCCTGGTTGACTTTTTACTGTAAATTAATATAGTATTCATATAAAGACGAATACTAAAAGCTTGCATGCTTTATTGTGTCCTTGGCTTGTCTGACTCCTAAGCGAAGAATAATTCTTGAGAAAGACTGCACAAATTCGCAAACCGAAACCTAGGGACAAGGCATTATATCGCTTCTCTTTTATGAAACAATATTGGGAATTCTGATAATATTCAGTGCATATTGTGTGTATTAAGCTTGGTTTACAATGTTATACTGACTATTTAATATTTATAAGTATGCGGCGTTAAAATGTACAGTAATTTACTCGTCACTTTGTTTACAATAATTATCACATGCATGTTTACTGCAATTCCACTTTTTGTTGCAAAATTTGAACTATAAACATATTATTAAATTATGTCCAATGTCCATGGTATATCATATATTATGTCTATGTCTCACCAAAGCCATAAATTTCAGTAAGTTATATTATTACTATATATATAGACTGTATACAGTGTATATTATATATTGCAGCACGAAGCAATTCCAAATAACTGAATTAGTTAGCGGGTAATATACAACTTTAAACTTACTGTGCCTACAGGAGAAACACATGCAGATTGTAATAAAAAGTACAACTTGATATATTACTCTGTAAAACCTCGAGCCGTTTTAACTTTTTTAGTATGCCACAGTGGCGGTCTGTATACGAAACTATTACAGTAACGAATTTGAAACGAATCGGTTTATGTTTACAATATCGTAGTGTATTCCGGTCTGCGCTGATTGGTTGTTATTAATTGACCTGTGACATCATAATTGAAGGGCGGCACGCAATCATCATAGGGATCCTTGCAGGCTCTCTTTCCCCAGAGAGCCTGCTCGCAGGCTAAATATAACTTTACTTGTACATGCAGGCGGAAACGCCGAAAGTTTTATTTGTAGGCGGGCACCGCATTTTAGTACTGTGTGTGGTGGTTTTAGTGGTCTTGTTTAAAATTGCTAGAAAGAATGTGTATTTTCCGGGTGTTTGGAAACCCAGGAACTACAGGAATTACAGGAACATGGACAGGAATTACAGGATCTACAGGAACTACAGGATTTTCAGGAACAGCATAAGTCATAATATTTCTCGTTAATATATTATTTCTGTTTTTCAGTCATTTTAGATTACAAACGGGAAATACATACTCAGGAGTATGTATTTCCAGTTTGTAATACAAAATGACTGAAAATTGCAAACTTCGCAAAGCTATACAGGGGAGTAGGGTGCTTAAAAATTGTGGAGGGGTTAGATGGCAGAAAGTGCTGAACGACAAATTTGAAATTTATGGTCTCCAGATCGCCGGAAATGGCATTTTCAGATCTTTCGTACCTCTTTTGTTAGGCCTATACTACTTATAAGTTCATCTTTTAGACTTGAAACTGGTATAAGTTACAGAAATCCTTGCAATTTCCTTTAATTTTTGTATTTTTCTTTGCCATTTCCTTGTGCATTTCATTTCCTTGTAAATTCCTTGCAAGGACCAATATTTCCTTGCTGCAAGGAAAAATCCTTGCAAGTGGAAGCACTGTTTGAGATGCCGGTTTTCGGATATTTCAACTCTCCCGATTTTACCGGGAGTCTCCCGAAAATTCATGCAATCTCAAATTCTCCCGATTTTTCAGAATATTCAGGAAATATCATAAAAAATTATAAATATACTGTTTTTAGCAACATACTATAGTCTGTCTTGACCTTTTTTGAAGTTGCTTTATGGCAATTTATAGGATCACTTATAACAACATATTCCCAAAATGCAGGAAATGCCATTTCAGAAGACTTAATTTTTATTATTTTTCAATAGGTATTTCCAAGCATCCATGTATTTTTCTGTTTATTATATAAAGGACAGTCTTTGAAAAGCGATAATTTTTACAGAAAAGCGATAATTGAAAAGTGATAATTTTCACATGTGAGATTATCACTTTTATCAGTGCTTGAAATCTCTTTCAAAAACTCATTAATAATTCAGGAAAAACACAAAGAAAAATCCTAAGCGTGTCGTGGTTTTATATGTGATAAAAAATCATGTTAATTTACATAAACTTTTCTCGGTTTAGACAAAGTTTATTTTAAAAATTACGTCGCCGATGAACTTGTATAAGATGAGTCGTTTTTGAAGCTATTTAAAGCACTTGTAGTCGTGTTTTATCACATATAAAACACTCCGCTACACGTCGTGAAGTTTACTATTCCGTCAGGCATTTTAGTATATTTGGAATAGCGGAATAGCGGGAATTTCGACCCCTGCCGTGTTACGTGACATTGAAAAAAATCTCTTCCTTAATTTTCTTTGTTCAGAGAAAGGGCGGCAAAACCTTTCAATTCCTACAGACATTCTGTCTGTACTCCCCCACAAGCTTACAATAATGCTTAGACTTGCTCCAAGTCTCTCTTCCTTGTCATATAGTATCGATCCACTATAGTGTACATTACATGACGTAGCACGGAAGGGCGGAGCGAGAAAGAGAGACTTGTCAACTTCGGAAAATCTCGGTTCAAAACTGAACCGAAAATGCAAGACTTCAGACTTGCTTTAATTGTTTTCCTTCAATTTCTTTCTGTATTATTTACTATTATGGAACTCATGTTATTTACACTGTGCTAGATCAATACATATAAACACTGACAGAAAACAAAGCAAGCCTTGCATTTTCGGTTCAGTTTTGAACCGAGATTTTCCGAAGTTGACAAGTCTCTCTTTCTCGCTCCGCCTCTCCGTGCTACGTCATGTAATGTACACTATAGTAGATCGATACTATATGACAAGGAAGAGAGACTTGGAGCAAGTCTAAGCATTATTGTAAGCTTGTGGGGGAGTACAGACAGAATGTCTGTAGGAATTGAAAGGTTTTGCCGCCCTTTCTCTGAACAAAGAAAATTAAGAGGAGATTTTTTTCAATGTCACGTAACACGGCAGGGGTCGAAATTCCCGCTATTCCGCTATTCCAAATATACTAAAATGCCTGACGGAATAGTAAACTTCATGATCACAGTATTCCGTTTGTATAGTAGAAAAAAATTGTGGTACCAAATATCAACAAGCAAGGGTTTACCTGATCTTTATATAAAAAAATCACTTTATACCGGACTTTGAGCCACTGTTCCACTTCGTAGCTAAGTTCTTGTTCGCTTGCAGTACTTGCATATTCTAATTTCTTTGCAGCAATATTATTGTTGATTTCAAGTCACTTTTCAACGCGCGATTCCCAAGTTCGTTGCGAACTTGCCAATTACATTTCCAAGTTTGGAAATTGGGCGCGAACTTCGCAACAAAGTTCGCAAGTTCATTTCAGTGTTTGAACTTTGTTTTTTATTACTAATTTGTTCATCACTGTACCGAGCAATGCACTGTACATGTTTATTTCTTGTTATTCAATTATTCAGTTGATCAGTTCACTTTAGGAGTCTCAAGGATGATTTCACGAAAATCAGAACATTACCGCGGACCCTGCATGAACAGAAACAGTACATTAAGGAATAGTGGATTTTCAGACGGAATAGCAAATATAAAAATCTACTATTCCAGCTGTATAGAACAAAAAAATGTAAATTTCGACCCCTGCACGTGCTCAAAACTAATGTGTATAATATATCACTTGAGGTTATGACTAAATTCAAAATTTTTATTTTTCGATACGTTTCTCAATCGGCAAACAAACTTAGAAAGTATGTTTAGTGCTTTATCTGTAAAATAATGCTAAAATGAAGAGATTTTAGATGATACGCCAAAGAGAAAATGATGTCTGAAGTTCAGTAAGTTTTGCTTATATGGCTGTAACTCACTCCAAGTCTCTCTTTCTTTGTCATATAGTATCGATCCACTATAGTGTACATTACATGACGTAGTACGGAGGGGCGGAGCGACCAGTGCTCTCACTTTTAAGGAATTATCCTTAAAAATAGGAATTTTGAAGAGTTTTAAGGATTTTTTAAGGAATTTAGGTTTTTGAGGATCTTTTTAAGGAATTTCTGAAACATTTTATCCTGGACTAAAAACGTTGGATGGAGGATAACCACGCCACGCAAATGAGATTTAAACTTGAAAGTAGCAACATTATACGCACATAATTACATATATTCGTATGTTCTCTATGTCATAAATGTACATATGGCTGTCTTTTCCAGTGGCGGGCATAGGGGGGCCTGAGCCACCCCAATAATTTTGAAAGACTGTTAAAGATGCGGTACAGTCCGTATGTAAACAAAGGCTTTGTTTACATTTCGGTATCCAAAAGATTGAATTTTATTCGACAACTATTTATATTTTCATGATTCTAGAGTATAATAAATTAAGAAGAGACAACAATATAATCAAGCTTTGCAAGAACATAAAACGAAATAAAAACCTAAATAAACTGTTTGTAAATAAAAAGAGGGCTCCTTTGTGCACATGCGCAGATCGGACTGTACCGCATCTTTAAAATCTTGTACCAAATAACACAAATCACACTCGTATAACGTAATTGTCATCATAATATAATAGTATATGTTTCTGTACATGGCTTGGCATGTGATTTGTAACACTGAAAACGCACCATTAAAACAGTGTTTTGAAACCCTAGTTTTTTACAAAATGTGTTCTCAGAACGCTGCAAATTTGGCTTTCCGGGATTCAAATTTTAAAATTTTTCCGTGCCTTCGGCACGAGGCCCCCAATATTTCGTAAAGTGTCGCCACTGGTATTTTCATTAAAATTCTCAAAAGTTAAATGTCAGTATATGCTGTTTCTTCTGAAATCTACAGTCCTACAGATTTTTTAAGCTCTTCATGCAGCAACGATTAAAAATACATCATGTTGAATGTTTTCTTTATGGCATTATGCTAACAATCAAATGTTTTCAATTTTTAGTGCTTAGAAACAAGGTTAAAAACTGAAAAACAGAAAAAAGGAGGAAAAACAGAGACAACCTCGTACCCAGGGCTTCTGCGCTTATTGAGCAATAAGCGCAGAAGCCCTGGGTACGAGGTTGTTTCGCCTATAGTTTTTCACTCCTACGACGATCGAAAAAGAGAAAAATTCGTAAAATATTGCAAACTAAGTGTGATAAACTCACTTTTCCAATACGCGTACTGATGTTGAAAGTTTTAAACACAAATTTAACCACACAATCCCTCTCTCGGGCAAATAAAAAGACTTTATTTTCATGTTTGTTGTCTCAAAATAAAATTGTTGCCGCCATTTTGAAATTTGATGTCGGGGGGCATAGAGATTATAAATAACACTAGAGGAGGCATCGAGTTTAAAAACTGGGAACGCAGCTAATGGGGGGGCAAATTCAAGTCCCGGATATAAAATCGTGCTCTCATTGGCTGATTTGAAACTCGTCACCAATGGGAACACGAATACACATCCGGGACTTGAATTTGCCCCCCAATAGTCGCGTTCCTTTTTTTTTACTGAATTAAGATTACAATGCCTCCTCTAGTGTTATTTATAATTTCTATGGTCGGGTGCTGCCTCTAGTCACTTGCTAAGCTATGCGCAGTAAGGCATGCGCAGTGACCAAGCCTTACGCTTTTTTCAATGAAGTCAGACATCTGGTCCTCTTAACCTGTGCCACGGGCAATACGCAATTTTTTGCCCCGCGACAAGAGCCGAGTTTCAAACGGCAAAAAGTGTCTAAAAGTCTTTCAAAACTATTTAAAACGAAGAAAAATAAACCTAAACTAAAGAAAAGGAGCACCTTCTTTGGTTAAAGAACTTTCTCAATATGTTTTTGTTAGCGAAAGTCGAAATTACAAGAGGGTCTTAATGGGGGTCTTTGGGTGTCAGTTGTCAGCTAAAATTTAAGCCAGTTGTCAGTGCGATATATTGCAAGCTGTCAGTAGTCAGTTACTGCAAAAAAGCTGACTCATCATTTTTTCATCATTTCTCAGTTGTCAGTTAATAGGATATTTTGTCAGTTGTCAGTCAAAAATTCAGGCAAAGGTCTGTAGTCAGTAAACCCCATTCAGCCCCTCTTACAAGGTAAATTTTACAATGTTTATAACTATTAAAGAAGTCAGGAATAGCTGTCTTTTGACTTTGTGAAGAGCTGCAAATCTTATTTGCAGATAGCCGAGGAATTTGACACCATCCTAAATAAAAAATACAACTAAAGCAGCCACAGATTTATATTTTTCCCTGAAAATTTCTGGGTTTTTTCGATAAAAAGAGATATATTTATGAGATGAAGCGAACTAAAAACGTACTTGTCCATACTGATTATTAATTTTATTGTTTTCATATTTGTTGTCTTTGTCTTTGATTAAATTACGAAATACCTCGTATTTTTCTTGAAATACTATCCAACTGTGTTAGTATTCTATATAAAAAGTGCTGTAGAGTAGTTTTACTAACCAAGCTTGAGAACATTTTTTACAATTGTTCATTTTTGCAAATGTTTCGGACTTT